GCAATTTTAGAAGGCTTAAATCTTTTCAATGTTAGCTAGTCATTTCAAAAAAGTCCCACTGAAAGAAAGGCTTCCAAGAAATTTCAGAATTAGCATTATAAGAAATGTTTATAACTAATCTATAATAAATTATATTATCAGTTTATAATTATTAGCTATATAGTTCTATAATCCATTAAAACTTTCAACCTTTCTCACTCCTGCTACCACATTTGGTTGCTTGTGCAATTGTCCCCAGTTGAATAAATGGACTAACCAATTGATAACCATTTAATTTTGGGAAAGATGGGAGAAATTTTTCAATGTGTGCATTCTCTCACACTTCCCAAAATGGAATAATGGACTAAGGTATTGTGAAATTCTCAGGTATTTTGCCAAAATCAAAAAGTATGCTTGAACCTGCTTGTCAATTGTGTGACACTGAAGCATATATCTGTCTTATACTGCATGATGTGACACAGAAGCAGATAGCCATAGATGTCCAGAAAATGCTTAATTAAGTATTCTGCAGCTGATGTGAATTACATCAGCATCTGTGTATACAATTAAATTCATGATAATTGAGGGCCAAGCAAAGTGGGAATTTGTTTTGAATAGACCCTTAGCCGCAAGGCAAATAGAATTCAAATCAAACCTGCTCTAAGGGTAGAAAAACATTGGTCAACTCATCCTCCTATTTCTGAAGGCCACTATGGTTCCCTGTCCTGGCTGCAGATACAGATTCCAACACACCACAAGAAAGGCTGTTGCTACCATATTCCTAGCTAGAAGAGGAAATGCCTTCCCCCCCCCCTCTCCCCCCACCCCCCGCCGCCTTTTTTCTTTTGAGAAACCCACTTCACAAGGGTTTTCATGGCCAAACTTTGAGATACATTTCAGACAATCATTCAGAGCTTTGGATGTTCCTGACAATTCGCATCTATTTCAAGCTGCTTACCACTTTATATAAAGTTGGAGTAAACACTCTGCAAATTTAAAAGGTCAATGATCCTGCCTGTAATAATGGAAAATGCCATATGAGATTTGCAGCATAAATTACATATGGAATTCAATAGCAAGAGATTAGTTTATGGAATGAGGGAATAAAGGTACTGCTTATACACTATGCACACAATAATACACTTAGAGGCAATTTTTTGAAAAAACTGTTCATAATTTTAATCTGCAAACTCTTCAGTGCTAGGGTCATGTTTTTATTTTTCAATTCGAGCAACTCGAAGCACTACATAATTGTCATTTCTAAGTACTGCAGTAATACTGGAAGTATCAGTATCACAAACAATTAATATAAAACTTTGATTAGCTGTTTTAGAGGGGTCCTTTGAAGGCTGACAACTCTTGTTGTTATGTGAAGAACTTGTAACCTCTACTGCCATAAAACATAATTGTACAATAGTTGGGTCAGCTTTTAGATGTGCTTGTGCTACTTACGTTAGTCTATATTAAAACTTCCATGAGCCTCCAGCTGTGATGTCATTGGTTATAACTCTTCCCATGGAAGCACTTTAAAAAGTTGAGATTAGTGAGGTTAAAAGTAAACTGAGCCTCAGAGGTCATGTTTGGATACATACTTTGGTTTAGATGTATTTCATCTGAAGTTGTTGCTGTCAAACAATCTAGTTTGAGCACCTTTGCACAGCTCCTCTATGATATGGATGGGTTGAAGGTCCCATTCCCAGGCAGTTACTTTCTGCAAGTCTGCACCATTTATAAGAGGGGAGAAAAAAAAAAAAGCATCAAGCTTGCAATATCTGATTTCAGTGATGTCTTTCTGGATAGCTATATCAAGGCACTTGAAGGAAAAACCCTACTAGTGACCTGGAGAAGCTAAGGTTTGGGCTTTGAGGGGTATTTATCTTATTGGGCAAGTAAGGACCTTCCTTTTTACGTCAAGGTAATCAAAAACTAACTTCTCAGGCTGACCCAAAGTCATGGACATCTACATTCTTAAACTCTCAGTAGTGCTAAGTACTTCCAGGGTGGCAGCAAGAAGTGAGTTGATAGCAGAACAGCTTTTTGCCCTTGCCCTTCACAGCCTCAGCAGGCTGAAGGAACACACTGCAAGGTGTCCACAACTCACACACACAGCTAGGGCTGCTGCAGAGTGGGAGCAAAGGTGGTAACACACAGTCCTGCCACCACTTTGGCAAGCCGGGGGGGGAGGGGAAAAAAAAAAATCAGTAATGCAGATTGCTATACCAGCTATAGAAAAAGCTATGGGACCCTGTGATTTGTATACTTCTGTATCATTGTCAGCTCACCATTAGAAAAATGCGCAGCAAGAAAAAAAATTACTGGGGAGAAAAAAAAAAAAAAAAAAAAAAAAAACACACACACACAGATGCAGAAAGGTTTTACTGAATTTTTAGCTGCTGGGTATCATACTGGTCAACTTTTTTGCCTTGGTGTCAATCTAGAGTACAGTACATCAGACACATTAATACTAGATCAAGCTTCATAAACTAACGGCACAACTTGCAAGTATAAATGCAAAAATCAGCATTACTATGTGTGTATGAACAAAGCAATAAGTGCCATTTCATTTCATTGGCAGTCAGAATTTTTGCTTTCAGGATTTTTTGCTTTGTTTCATACTTTGAGAAAATAGCTTGACATGTAGAGATTTACTTTACACTTTTTGTACTAACAATTTTTTATTCTACTATTTAGCATATAGTAGGAAATTTTTGTAACAAGCAAGATGTGCTATATGAAGATAACAATCCCAGAAACCTACCTAATCTTTGCTGTTCACTTCCCATCTCCCAAAATAAACAAAATACAGAAACTAAAGGCCTGATCTACCTCCACAGAAGCCAGTTTCCTGTCAGCTTTACTGGTCCCATGCCAGGCAGCATAGCTGAAAAAAAACTCACAAGTGAGGGCTGTTAAAAGAGGCCTTAGATATTCTCATTTAGTCTGAGGTCAGGCTGTCTGTTACTGAAAAATGATTTATTGACATATGGGGGAATTTCTACTACAGAACTCATCTAACTGCACATTGACATATAATTCCTTTCTTTCTCCCAATATGATCTTCTATGATGTGCATAGGAATATGGATTTTTTTTTTGAGAGAGAGAGTTTCATATAGTCAAGTTTTCTGTCTATTTACTTGCTTAAATAAATGTTTTCAATTTAATAAAACAATTTGTAATTAAAGTTAAAAAATGACTTTTTAAATAGAAATCATAATAAAAATGCCTTTTTCCCCTCCAATATATTTACTTTAACAATGTGGTCACATTTTCCTACATTTTCACATTAATTGAAATCTTATTGTTCTAGGAAAAATAAAACTTTCCCTTCCCCTAAGTTCTCAACTCTTATGCAAATGAAATAGCACACATACAGCATACAGCCATAATTTGTGGTTTTAAAATAAGTAAAATTGTGCAAGTTCACTGTATCTTTAAGAAGCATCATGCCAAGAAGTACTCTCACATAGCCTATGTTTCATAGTTTACCTCTCCCTTCCATGAAATAGGAACATATGATTATCCTTTTGATTACTAATTGGGTTTTAAAAGATGATCTAAAGATTTTTAATTTTGGTTCTGGTTTGGACCATCATCTTGCACTGATGCTCAAAAGGAGCTGCTAAGGCTCTGGAGCATCAGCTAAAGCCCCTAAAAGAGGGGGCACTCTCCAGGCAAGAAATCCTTTCTTTTTATTTGAAAATTACCAGGATAACAGATTTATTTGAAGGGAAGCAGACTCGGGGGGGAAAGGGGAGAATCCAACAGCAATATTGGCAGCTGCTGCTGTCCTCATACATAATCCTGGATGTTCCTCCCATCCACATTCAGACAAACAGTTTGAAAAAACTGCCTATAAATATCTATTCACTTTCAAGAAACTTTTCTTGGTTACAGAAGCTAAAATAAAGCACCATAGCAAATAAAATACAAAGCATGCCACAAAGCTTATCTACTTTCCCCCCAAAGAAAGCTCAGTGACTATCACCACAAGCTGGAGCCAAATCCTCCAGTGCTGTGGTGAGCAGAACAACTCTAAAGACTTCAATGATTTTTAAAATCATTTTCTCCATCAAAACTCACCAACACCATTCTCCAGGAATCTGTACCCATCAGCACCTGCTGAGGGTCTTCGTTGATCAAACCAAGAAGTAAAAAAAATCCTGTAGAATAAAGCCAGACCAGCTGGCTTTGAAGAGGAACCCCCAATTTGGGTTGTGTTTGCCTCACTCACCCCAGGCTCAGCAGCCCTAGGCTTTCTGCCTTGGCCGCTGACCCGCAGGCTGTGTGATGCAGCCACACAAGTGTCTGGCATACTAGGCAGCACCTGCTGCTGTCACTCCAAGTAAATTTAGCTGTGAAAGGTATCACTGACAGACAGACCTTTGTCAGCGCCAGCAGGCAAACATAGGCATCCTGGCCCCCTCCCCAGGCACTCATGGAAAACAGCAAGCCAGCCGCCTTATCCCGAAAAAATCACTTCTTTGGCAGGGGAAGGGGCAAAATTGCTTTCATATGGCAATAAAAGTTTCCTCCTTTAGGTAGATGGTAAAATTACATTCCAAGAATAATCTCCAAACAAGACAAGTTTTTGTTCTATTAATTGTGGCTGGAAGGAAACTTTTTAAATGCAAATACAGCACACACATGTAGAGGAATGGTTAGAGGCGCGGACATGGCTGCCCAGCAGGCCTGCTCAATTCCAGCCTTCAGGTTTCAGTGAAAGAACAAAGGGAGTGCTAACTAGGAGATAAGAAAGTAGACCAAGGTCAGAGGGAATAAAAGAGCTGTTGAACTAAAAGGATGAGCTAAACAAGTAAGGGGGGCTGTACTCCAAGCTGCAACACACACATTTCAATTTAATACTTAACACAGTTTAATAACCTAAAGTTGATTGCCTTTCTTTTCTTAGGATAAAAAAGCACAATGAGTTAGTGAAATATTAGAAGGCTAAAGTCTCTCAAATAAAAGGTATTAATCTCATTCCCAAAATTAGAAAGCATGCAGTGTTGAGACTGGATGTCAAAATTACATGTTAATAGCACTTATGCTCCAGGAATCTAAGAACCAACCACTTTCAAAATGGAAGCTAAAATAAGTGGAAATCCTTCTGAGGGGGAAGCAAACTCAACCTGGTGTTCTTGTCCTTCCTGGATTCAGGTAAGGGCATTTATCATTTATACCTGCCCATGTCTTTCCCCTCCCCCTCCCCCACCCTTCCCTCACCTTCTTCCTGGAAGCGGCTTCTGGTGATTTAAATAGACCTAATTTGCATCAGTACATCTATCAGAGTTAAAAAAGTTGTCAACAGAGGTTTGCCATGGTTAGGCACAGCATACCTAGATACTCCATTTTTGCTCAGAAACTATGTCATAAACCCAGACCACTCTATAGAAAAAAAAAAATCATCAAAAGTAAGCCCTTTAGGAGACTATGCTGCTTAAAGCAAGCAAAACCTTCATTTTAAAGAGAGTGATGAGAAAGTCTGGGTCAGCAGCACTTCGTAAAATAAACAAGGTTCCTATTTACTTACTATGCACAAACAGCCACTCACCAAGCTGTATGTCTCCGCAGGGGCACCCTTTCAGATAAGAACATGGACCTGATTGGCATCATCCTGTATCCATGGAAACCTTTTAAGTACCTCTCTCAACATGTACTTCTCTTATTCATGGTTTAAAAGCTGAGTACTGAATAAGTGTTTTTATTTAATAATTATACGGGAGGTACCTTGTGGAAACTTGGTAAGAACAGGTTCTTGGGTTTTGTATCTGCCATAATAAAGCTCTTGAAACGTGATTTTTATCAATAGGATGAAACTACAAGTGTCCCACCAGCTCATTCTTAGAGAAAAAACAACATTCAAAGTCCTAATGAATGAGAACTCTGAACTTTTGATGATCCATTACAGTCTGAAAATAATGATCGTAGTTCATGTTCCCTTCATACTTAGGTAGTGCTCCAACTACAATAAACTGTACTGTTTTTGAACATTAAAAAATTGAAAAAATAATTAGTAAGAAAATAGAGTCTATTTTCCTTTGAAAATAGGTATAGCCACCTTGCTGTTTAGTAGGTTACAGAAGTTAACAGTTTAACAGTCAGCTTGAAACCTAACCCAAGACTGAAAATAAAGATGGTTTATCACAGAAATAATAAGTCAAATGGAAAACAATACTTTTCCTATTAAGGCCCACCTAATTTTCCTATGCCTGCCTCACTGTTTAGTTAAAAGTCAAGCCAAAGAACTGGCAGAAATAAGGGATTTTATTACTCCATATTCCCATGCAGAGAAAGGAGCATAGACACAAACTACTACTTTCCCCTCACATAGTTATAATCATGAAGATCTACTGCAGAACAAATGTAGTTATTTGAAAGTTGCCTTGGCTCAATTTCAAAACTGTTTAAGAATTCAGCCTATTACCTGGTACAAATAATGCTCATTTAAGGTAGTTTGATTACTAAGTATGAATATAAGTGATTACCATTCATTATCTCTAGTTAAAAATAAAAATATTATCTATATATTTATTCCTACCTTAATTTTCTTGATGGAAAATGCATTTTCTCCACCTGGGCCAGGTTGTAGCACTAAAATGTCTTCTTAATTGTAACTTATCAGAGAAACACATTTCTGTCTAGAAAAATCCACTTGTTCTCATTGAAATCCAACTGGTTTAGAATCTTAGTTTACTAGGTTTATATCTCTGCATATTATTTTCATTTACACCTGCTATGCTTTTTATTTGCTACTTTGTCTCAACAACCCAGTCCCTGCTGAGTGCAGATGGCACAAATGATCTCTCCACTGATTAGACTGGAACAGCATTTGCAGACACTGCATGTAAAGCTTTCCTAATGAAAATTGTTACCTTTTCACATGCTAGGCTCTCCACATCAGTCCTATACATCTGTTTGTGTGTATACAAATGTGCCCAAGACAGTGGGAGTCAAATAGTATGCCTAAAAGCAAAAAAAAAGTTATAAGTTTTTAAAACTAAAGCATAGTGCAAATCAGCAATATGGTATATTGTGATATTAATTATTTTAAAATAAATATTTACAATGAACATTGGAAAGGCTCAGCAGAATAAAAGGTTTCACTTAACATTCTCAAATTCATGCAAAAAAATAAACTAACTCCTGTACTTGCAAATCATTTTTCATCTTTTGCTATTGCCTCCCAAACTTCTGTAAGCTCCACTTTTATAAATATGCTGTTAAAAATGAGATCTGTTTTACCTTTGTCTCAGTGTTCCAACAAAAGGTAGTTATTAGTAAACAAGTAAATAGATGTCCTGCTTGTTTTAAGTATGTCCCTTCATATATCTTTCAAAGTGACTGTTTACATAATATTTTAAGTGTAATAGAACCACAGCCATGCATAAGGCTGCCTGATATTTCTCACAGATTTTTTTTTTTTTAATTGTAGGTTGCCATGCTTTAATCACTAAGCTAGAGAGTTTTCCTTTTGGGATATGTGTCTTATCCCAAATTTTGTAGAATGGTTCACTTTATCACTTGAAATTAACAGCAGGAGAAATAGGCTAGTTCATGTATGCTAAAAAAATATATATAATAGTTTTGCTGATAATTCTAACATCTGTAGATTTTGGAATAATGAAGCAAGTTTACCAGGGATGGTCTTAAGGAAGTATCTGGCATAAGTCTGTCCAAATAGCATGTATATCAAAGAAATTCACCCAGAAAATACAAGTCATTTATGCTTGTTTGAGACCTCAGTTGGGAATCTGGCACCAAAGAAGAAGATAAAGTGATTAAAAACTATTGACATGACAATCTGCAAAGAGCCAAATTATAGCTGCATGGGAACCAATTCTGATATCCCCGATTTTAAGCACTGGGCATTCTTTTATTCAAGAATCTGAGGGTTTAGTAAGGCATATGCTGAACTGCATATATTTTGCCCTCTATGGAGGGCAGATGGGTAAACTGCTGCTCCTTCCCTTATGTGCTTACTCAATTTCTAACACAAAGATAAATGTATACATTTCTCTCTCCCCTCCCTCTCTGGTTCTTTCTCTCTTCTCTCCTCCCTTCCCCCCCCCG